GGGAGGGGGGGGAGCGGCTCTCTCCCCGGTGGGGAGATGCACAGTAAGCGAGAAAGCAACCTGGCCACCCAGTCAGATAAGGGAAGATCGCAAGCAGGTCCGGCCGGTGGGAGCAGAGCTGGGGGGCCGCCCGATGGCGAGGCGGGCCTCACCTGGCGTACTCCAGCCGCGACAGCAGCAGGTAGAGGCCGACGCAGAGCCCCAGGAAGACGTCCGCCGTCAGGAAGAAGGCCAGGGTGCTGTCCGTCACGTCGCTGGACGCCGCCAGGTCCACCAGCAGGGCCACGGCACTGATGGTGCCCCCCATGGCTCCTCCTGCCGAGAGCACAGGCCCGTCACCGAGATGCGCAGTGGGCCCACCTTCCTTCACCTCCGACCCTGGACCCTCCCTTTCTCTTGACTGCCCTTCTGGTGGAGTCAGCAGTTTCAGACTCAGGGCCGGGACTTCTCAGGGAGCTCCTCTCCCGGGCCCTCAGCCCAAAGCACGACCAACCGAGGCGGGCCAGACGTTCAGGGAATGTTCTAGCACGGGCCCTCCTGTGGCTCGGAGCAGCACCATCCCATCCCAGGAGTCCTCGTCACTTACAGAACCGCCATGTGGCCCACCGGCGAGCTCACGGAACTGACCTTGTACCCCACGGGAGGTGTGGCACATACACACGTGAACGCGGGTGTGTGCACAACACACACGCACTCACGCTTTCTCATATACACTCTCTCACACACACACACACACACACACCGCTGTGCTATCACAGTCCTACACACATACACACACGCACATGCATGCAACCGCCCTCCCACATGGAATGTTCTCTCTCGCCAAGGGCTTTGCCACGTGATCCACGTGACTCCGTGCCACCACCATTCACTGCTACCAACAGAGGAGGCGGCACAACTTAGTGGATCCATGGCTCTGGGCGCCAAACAGATGTACATCTGACCCTTGACCCTGCAGCTCACTAGCTGCGACTTGGGGGCTAATGTGACTCCTTGGAGCCCCAGTTTGCTGGTCTACAAAATGGGGCTAACAAGCCCTGCCTTGCATAGCTGCTCTGAGGACTGAATGTCCGGAAAGGGCCCAACACACAGTCGCCTTTCAACAAGTACCGGTCCCCTTCTTTGCCACAATCACACCGTCACTTCTGGGAGGCGGGGGGGTGGGGGGTGGGGTGGGGATGTGCCTTACTTTTCTGTTGAACCCTCACACCCGTGGCTAGTCAACCTGTGCTGGGCAAGACTAAGGGGTCAGACATGTTGTGCATGCCCCCAGATCACTTACTCCTCTCCGCCTCTGTTTCTCTGCCTGGAAAATGGGGCTAATACTTGTCCTGTCCGTCCCCCGAGGCCTGGTGAGTATGTTGTACTGCTGGGCTGAATGAATGCGTCTGCCCGCATTCGAGGACCAGGATACTGATTCTCAGGGAGACAAGGAGGTGGCTCACTGCAGACAGCAAACAGCAAACTGGTCTGTGTGGGCAGGGACGGCCCTGTCATTGTCATGCAGCTCTGACCAGGCGGCACCTTCTGCCTGGTGTCGCACGAGCAGTAGTGGAGAGCAACGGTTGAGGGCCTCGCCCACACTCTGCCCGACGGCGCTGTGGCTGAGCTTCATTTGCCTGGGCAGGGCCCGGCATCAGGATTTGAAAGGATGGCAGAGAGATCAAAGTTAGCACAGTGATGACGAAGAGCACAGACTCTGGAACCAGAACATCTGAATCCAATCCTGGTTCGACCGCTTCCAGCTGTGCGGCCTTCAGCAAGTCACTGAACCTCTCTGTGCCTCCATGTCTTCATCTGTAAAGTGGGGATATTAGTAATACCCACATCAAAGGGCTCTTACAAAGATAAAAAGGATTCTGAGCCAGAAAGCATTCAGAAAGGTGCCCAGCACACAGAAGGGCCTATGAATCCTCTCAGATCCCCAATTAGGTGTTCGGCTATTTCTGTCCTTCCTACATCAAAGCAGCAATGACAGGGTAAACTCCTCGCCAAGAGGGTGCCAACTTCAGAGACGCTGTAATCCCACCTGGGTGTTTTGTAAGAACTGGAGCTCAACTTTAGAGTAAAGACACTTGCCGGCTACCCTGAGGAACAGATCTTAACATCACTGCCTATTGATTTCCCTCTCTCTCTCCTCAACTTGTAGGGAATTTACAATATTATCATCAACAACAAACCAGGCCTCCGGGAGCTCATCTTTCATGACTCCCTACTTTTATCTCATCAGTTATGGAAATACATGCAAATGAGGGGTTTAAAAAAACACCAGCACAAAACAAATGAATTGTTCCTCCCATGCCTACACGTGCAGAATTCACAGATGGGCTCCTCTGGACGAGAAATGACGGGGGCTGGGGAGGTGGCGGTGGGGCCTCTGGGAGCCGGGGCCACCTCGGATTTTCCAGGGTGAGGGGCGCCCAACCCTCCCCCCGGCCCCCGCAGAGTGAGGACACTGACTTAGGGCCCCGGGGTAATCAATACCGAAGTGCAAGAGCCGGACTTTTCAACTTTTTAAAAAATGGACTTTCTGAAACATTCACAGGAGAGTTCCCTTTTCGAGAAGATTCACAGGTGGCCAGATGAACCCGAAGGGCCCCCTGCCAGCACAAATGGTGTTTGGTCCCTGGCTCCTAGACATGTAGCCAGCAATGTGGTTGTAATGAAAAATACATCCTTTGGCAGGATGGAGGGAGTTGAGGGGACAAGAGCTTCTCTCAGACTCGGGTGACAGAAGAGATTACATCCAATGCTCGCGGGCCATTTCCCTCAGGCTAGGCATGTCCTTCTCAAAGCCCTGCTAGGGGCATATTGATTGTACTCAAGAAACTTAGCAATGGGTCCACTTTTATTTTACTTTAGACCCAAGGATTTCCCCGGGTAGAGCCAGAAGCCTAATCTTATGTCCAAAATGGCAGATTGAGCTCACATCTGAACTCTGATCTGCAGGTAGGAACAGCTCCACGGCTGAGTTGAGAAGGGGCAGGAGGCTCAGGAGGAAAGATACGGATCTAGTAGTGATGTCTGGCACTGGTGCGGGCATGGGGCGGGGATGCACACTTGTCCAGGTATTTGTCATCCCTGCCACATACGGCCTGGTGTTATTAATTCATGGACACAGAAGAGATTCCTAGTGAAATTCTTCTCAAGTGGACAAATGCTTACAGCACTCCTTCATGCAACAGCGATGTGCCCGGACGCCGAACACAGCAGCTGAGTCCCCAGTCTGGCGTTAAGGGATGGTGGTCTTCTGCAAAAGCACAGATTCTTACTGACCCACCTCCTTTTTATCTTGTTGGGACATCTGAGCGAGGGAACAGAGCTGCTAAAGGCCTGGACCACGGGCTCAGGATCAGCATCAAACTTCAGCCAAAGGGGTTGGCCCAAGTCGTGCGCCTGTGTTTCCAGAGAATGCCAAAGTTCAGGGTCATGGAGGTGTTTATTTGCTAGGCTATCAGCTCCTGAGAGGCTGGGTCTTGTTCATCTTTGTATCCCTGGCACATAGTAGGACTTCTATAAAATGAGAAAGGGAAAAAGGGGGGGAGAGGCTAAGAGGAAGGAAAAGGAAAGAGAAGGGAGGGGACAGGAGAAGGTGTGGGGACGAGGAGAAAGGGAAGAAAGGAATGCTGCTTTAGGAGATGCACTTGGTAGACAGATGTGTGTGCTGAAAGTGGCCGCAACTGGCTTCCCTCCCGCCTGCTCTTCCTACAGGATGGTTTTCATGTTCTCCCGCTGATGCGTGTGGGTCTGTGTTCTCTCCCCTGGGTCTCCTGGGATGCTTGCTCTGGTGACCCAGGCACCATGCCTCAGGGAAGCCCACCAAGCCGTGCCGAGACCCCGGCAGAGTGGAGCGCCCCGGCCCCAGACCCGGCCTGGCTGAGTTTCTCGGGAGCGGGTCTCCAGCCCTGTTGAGCTCCATCGGCTGATGCCGTGCGGAGCAGAGGAGAGCTGTCCCTGCCGACTCCTGCCCAGACTGCAGATCTGTGAGCCAAAGAACTGACTGCTATTGTTCGAAGCCACTAAGTTTTGGGGTGCTTTGTTACCCAATAATAGATAGTGGAAATATAGCTAACACTTGTTGCCTTTTCTGGAAGGGTCGCTGCATTCTCACCTCTGATTCCTCCGCATGACCCCCAGGTAGCCTGACCTGGTGGGCCGTCTGGAGTCCGGCTCTTACCTGATATCAGCGCCTGAGAATTCCTCATGGGGAAGGAGCCGGTCATGCCGAAGACACTGCTATTGAAGATGGTGGAGGTGCCGCTGAGGATCGCCATGCAGATAATGGTGACAGCAAAGAAGCCAGAGGTCCAGGAAGAGGTGTCCACCTTCACTAGCACAGTCATCACCAAGAAGATGGCCAGCATGACAGTCAGTGAGGCCAGCACACGGACACGAATCGGAACCCTGTGCGGGGAGGGAGGGACGCCAGAAGCGGTCAGAGATCCCCTTGGGCCTCCCACGCCGGGCCACGGGTGGTGAAGGTTCTTAAGGGACACTCTGCAGCCGGGAGGCCTGTGCCTGAATCCTGCCTTCCTAGCTCACTAGCTGTGTGACCCTGGGTCAGTGACTCAGTCTCTCTGGTTTCAGCTTCTGCATCTGTATAGCAGGGAGGAGAATGGATCCACCTGCAGGGTGGTTGTAAGGGTCTCTGCAGGGGAGTGTGCAGAGTGCAGGGGGCAATATCAGCTCAGGGCAAATGCTCGGCGGATATTGCTTCTTTTCATCTTGCTGTGAGGTTCAAGGACAGGACAGGAGGGCTCTCAAGCCCCTGCTCCCCCACCACAGGGCTGAGCTCCCACTGGCTTTGCCTAGTGTTTCAACGAAGCAACCACCCTCGGGGCTTCCTTCTCCCAAAACTTAGCAGTGGGGGGAGGAGGGAGACGAGCAGAAAATCATCATCATCATCATCTTCATCATCATCACGATATAGCAATTACCCAGATAGTACTTAATTTGTGCTAAGTACTCTTCGGAATGTTTCTACATGCTGACTTGTTGCATTCTCGCACCAGCCCTGTAAGACAGGCCCTCTTACCTGTCCCGCACATACAGGGAAGGAAACTGAGGTCAGAGATGCTAAAGAACTTGCTCAAGGTCACTCCCTGTGACCCCGAGAGGGCTGGCTCCAGTCTGTGTTCTCAGAAGGACACTCTGCTTCCTTGAGTGCCCTCCACCCTCTCCCAGCAGCTAGAGCTGCCCGATACCCCAAGGAAGGGGATATGGGTAGTCCAGAACAGGCCAGGGCAGAAGGATTCTCCTGTGATGGTCTCAGTCGCCACGGGCAGCCGCTGATGCTGGTGCGGCCCAGGGCCGGCCCCAGCCCCACACCAGCAGCACAAACCATACGTCCCTCCCAGCCCCCAACCGCCCAGACACTGCCCTGAAGGGAGGAGCGAGAAGGCTGGCTCTCCTGCAAACAGCACATTTTTATTCCAGGGAGAGAGAATATCATTGAAAGGGGCTGTTTAAATCATCAGATTAGACTAAGCTTTAAGCCGGATTGGATGTTTGGTTAATTTTCCTGCTAACCAGTGGGTGGGGGCTGGGAGAAAAGCCAGATTAGTTATAGACGCAAAAAAAAAAAATTTTTTTTTTGATAAAAAAGAAAGACCTGAAAGGCAAAAAAAAAAAGTATCTACATATATATGTACATAAATAGGTGTGAAATGATGAGCAGGAGAAGCAAGGATTTTCCAAAGTGCTTTTGTGGCTCCAGGCTACCTTGAGTTTTCTCTGATCTTCATTCTGATCCTTGCTGGAGGGAGAGCAGGGGTCAGCCTCTGCTGTGTGAGGGGCAGACGGAAGCCTGAGGATGTGAGGAGGCAGTTCAAGGTCGCAGCGTGAGTTCGTGGGGAGCAGGGAGGAGAACCCAGGTCTGCTGAACCTCCGCCCAGGGCTGTCTGCCAACATGCATTCTCTCCGGCGCCTGTTCCACAAGCGTGTGTTGGGCAACTCCTGTGTGTCAAGCACTGTGTGGGATGACCCAGCCCCCGGCCAGACGAGGGCCAGGCATTTTGCTTTAGTGTGCACAGTGCTGCAGTGGGAGGGCCTCAGGGCATCCGAGGGGGCACAGAACCCAGCCCGGGGGTCGCACAGTCTTTCTGGAGGTGGCACCTAAGCTGGAGTGTAAGGTGTGTTGGGATGTGAGTGCATGCGTCTGGTGAGAGGGAACGAGGCTAGCCTCGGGCTGCAGGTGAGATTGAGAGCAGAAGCTGGAGGGAATCGGAGCCCTACCCTGGAGGGCCTGGTCCACCTGCTAAGTGCCAAGGCTTGACCCTCAGAGTAGGGTCCAGGTTGGGCGTGTGGGCTTCGCCTGCCAGCATCCCTTCCCTGAGGAACACTCTTTCTTCCACGCCAAGTTGTTCTGGAGAGGTGACCGGCCACATTGTCCACCCCTGACCCAGCCACAGATGATGGACACATGATGACTGGGTCTGGGGTGACTGGAGTGTCCCATGCCATGCGGCGGGTCGCTGGATTAGGTCAGGGATTAGCATGTGAGCCAGGCAGGGCCAGGGAGGGCTCTCCAGGGCTGAAAGGTGGAGAGAAGTGCCCTCTCTGCCACGACCGTGTTGGGGGCTGCTGGTTGCCACCTGACCGGGTGCATGGAGAGAGACCACATTTGGGATGAAGCCAGGCAGACACACACGGAGCCCAGGGACAGTGCAAGAGAAGGACAGCCCTGGGGACATATGTAATCCCTTAGATCCAGCAATGTGTGGAGGCAGCCCTGACTTTAATTTTCCACGTAAAGAATGAGAAAATCCTTTTTGTGTCTCTATTGTCTGTTACAAGAGTGCAAGTTAACACAAAGAGGCACATCAAGGTTTCTAGCTGGTGGGTGACCCGTCCATGCACCCTCCCTCTACCAGGAAGCAGGCTGCAAGTGACAGGTAATTAACACTCCCAAGAGCAGGCTTCAACCAGTGATGGGGGCGTGGGTGGATAAATACTCCAGCTCCCTCCCTCTCAGGTGTGTGTTCCACACTGGGTCCCAGAGACCCCAGGCAGGTCAAGCTGGGTCTCTCTCTGTGGGAGCTGGTTTGGTAAGCCATCCTTTATTGGCTGCCTTCCCCTCTCGTTTCCCCCTCTCCGTTCTCCTACCCTCACCTCCCAAATAAACTGCTCGCACTTAAAATCCCTGTTCCAGGGGCTGTTTCTGGGGAACCCCACACTACGATGCATCTTCCCAGGGTCTGCAGGGGCCTCATCCTGGGCAGGAGCTGGTGGGCAGCCAGGTAGAGCACCTGGACCCCTGGGGGCCCAGAGGATCCGGTGTAAATGCACACCAGGAGCCCTGGAGGCTGGTGGTCAGGCCTACCTCTGACGTTCTGGGTAGTTCTACACACTCAACCGTGTCACACAGTGCCCTCCACCCTCTCCCAGCAGCTGGAGCTGCCCGATACCCCAAAGATAAGAGCCAGCAAGGGCCCAGAGCCTGGGTCAACATAACGTTCCCATTTACAATTATAAATATTAAGACAATCAAGTGGAGAGAGAGGGTGGGGACCAAGGCCAAAAAGCTTTACCAGACCCCTGGGGCAAGAAGGCAGCCCAGGGCAGACTGGGAGACATGAGGAGTACTGCCCGGACAGTGCTCTCCTGTCTTGTTCTCCCCCCGCCCCAGGGCGGACACAGGGCCTGGGAGGGACCTGATGAGTATCCACTGGATGCACAAACTGACAGGCAAGGGCTATTAGCGATGCAGGGAGACTCTCTGCTTCTTGACCCCCCCCAAGCATGGCAGGGAGACCACTGGGAACATTTGCTCTTTCCAGCCAGCCTTAGGAGTAGCCTCTGCCTCTAACCTTACCTCCTCTCAGCCCTGGTGAAGACGAAGTCCACGCCAGGAATGCTGATGGCATCCCAGGAGCTCTCTGGGGCCTGTCACAACAAGGTAATTAGTTGTCCCTACAGGAAGCTTGCTCTGGAGAGAGCTGGGGGACTTCTCGCCCAGCACCCCCAGGGTGGTGGGAGGTGAGGAGGTAAGTGCCAAAGGCAGGACAGGAGCAACACAGGCCCCACAGGTCCCTTGCCTGCTCAGGCCTCCTCCTTGCCCGCAAATTACCTGCCACGTGACCCATTCTGAGCCTGAGCCTCATCTCTGGGCCCCAGGTCCTCAGGGATCTTGCGTGGGGCTCTCTTCAATGCCCACGAGGGTTTATGAAACATGCCACATGAGGCCCACCCCACACGCAGTAATGGGGGCATGCTGGCCTCACTCTGCTTCAGCCGCTGGGACCCTGGGGCAGGCCACACGAATGTGAGATTCTGGGAGAGGGCTGCCGGCTCCCCACCCCCTTGCTAGAGAGGGCTCAGGACCCCAGGGGGCTGATTTCTTCATAAGTCTCTCAAATGTAAATCCTCCTCATAAGTATTTATGATGCTACAGATTTAACATAATAAAACACTTGGAGATTATGGATGAGCCAGTCAGAGAAAGCCAGGGTTCTCCAGGAGGGGAAAAAAGGAGACATTTCAATCTCGCACATTAAATAAAAAACAGCTTAGCCCCAAACCATCTTCCCACAACCCAGAAACAGACGGAGGCCCACAAGCGTTCCCCACACTGCCTTCACCCCTCTCCTATAGGCAGGAGAGGGCAAGGGTAGGCCCTGGGGTGGGCTGAACCTTCTGGAAGATACCCTATAATGCTGAGCCTTTTCAGAGCCAGCAGCCTGCCTGACCTTGGGAGGGTGGCTGCCTGGGCGGTCCACAGACCTAGACCTCCTTAACTACCTCCTTCCTTCCAGCTGCCTGAAGACAGGGCAGAGGCCCTCACCAGAAGGCTCTGAGATGTGGCTCTGGACGCAGGGAGCAGCTGGGGGACCCAGAGTTTCCAAGTACAAGTGTGGGGTGAGAAGGGTCCCAGTTCCCATCTGGCTTCACCCTGTTAGTGGCCACGTGACCTCGGTGAGCCTATCTTCCCATCCGTAAAACAGGTACCGAGTCGCCTGCTCTCTCGCTGTTGGGAGGATTAAAGGAGACAAAGCTCTAAGGGGTACGAGCGCTCGGAAGCGCTACTCCAGTGTCCTGAGGGTCGACCTTCCCTGCCCCTGCTGACCACTGTCCCAGGCTGGCTTCTGAGCTGCAGGATCTCAGCACCACAGAGGAGGTACAACGTCGCCTGGGCCTCCCCTCACTGGTCCTGTGGTCTTGGGTGTAGTCCTTTCACGGCTTCCCTCTCAGGTTACTGTGTGTCACCAGGCGTCACCCCTTGTTATAGCTCAGACCATGACGCCAGATCTAGAAGGGGTGGGGGCTCTCACTTATACGAGGCTGGGCTGTCCTTGCTGGACAAACCCGTGTCCCCAGGGCCAGCCAAGTGAGTGGACAGAGAGGATCATGGGAGAGTCCTGGAAAGGAGGGGGTGGTGAGAGACCAAGGGGCCCTCCACCACCTCAGCTGTCACCGCCTCTTCCTCATCCTCCTCCCCTTGTGTCCCCTTCCCTTCTTCCTGCCTTCTTTCCTGCAGCTCTTCCCTCCAGGGACCGGCAGTGCTGAAAGAACACTTGGCCCTGCTCTGCGCCCCACCTTCAAGGACACTGAGGGTAGTCCTGTGTGCCAGAGGAAGGCACGAGGAGGCGGGTTTAGGGTCAGCTGGTTTATGATTGGGGTCACAAGGCCCTCAGGCCATCTGGGCCCCATTCTGCTCTTCATCCTTACGGCCTGCACTTTGGTTTTAAAATGGGTGCAAATTCTTTGCCTCTCCTTCCATTGATAGGTGGGTCTATGTCCCCTTGAAACCAAGTGGGCTTGGGGAGTGCTTGCCCAGCTGAGTCCGGCATAAGTGACGCCATGTGGCTGCAGAGATTAGGTTACAAAAACCACGTAGCTTCTGCCTTGCTCTCTTGAGCACGTGCTCTTCAGCCACAGGACGAAAAGTCCTACTACCTGAGACCAACGTACCAGAGACCACAGGGAGGGGAGGGGAGAGTAGAAGAGAAGAGAAGGAGATGGGTGCTGGATAAGGGCCAGCAGCTCCAGCCCAGCCCAGCTTTCTGCAACCACATCAGAGACAGCAAGTCAGAGCTTCCAAGTGAGCCTGATGATGCCCAGAGCATGAGACATACTCATTACTGTTAGTGTTTTAACCCACGACCACGCTTGGGGATCACTGACTGCCATGACAGATAATTGCAATAGCCTCATAGCATAATGTTTGGAAGGACCGGTCTATCCAGGCTTAGCCCACATGCTGTCCTCTCTCCTCCTATGCTCAGAGCAGACACCACCATTCAATCGCAGCACACTCCCTGAGGCCAGACCTGCCTTGGAGTCCTGTTCCACCAGAGATCCAGGCCGGCACTGCGAAGTTAGTGGAGTTGAACTGATTTGCCATCAGGGATCTAAGGTTTCAGGCAGCTGTGCCCAGAGAAGGTTCCTGGCGGTAGCTTAGGGGAAATGTGGGCAAAGTAGCTAGGGCTGGTGCTCCTGCAAACCTAAATTGAGAATGGATGGCAAGAGTTCCCCGGTGGGTTCTAAGGGCCATGCCAACCTCCCCGGCTGTCTCCTACATCATTCCTTCTTCCACAGCGCAGCCCTGGGGCTCTCTCCCAGCCCCTGCTCTAACACAGTGTCAGGAGGTCCCCACTGAGCCTCTGTGAGCAGTCAACACGAGCCATTCCATGGAGAGAGAGCCAGAATTGTGGGGTGCCAGGCTCTTAACTTCCCACACTCTCAGGAATGCTTGGAGGGGTGCCTGGGTGGCTCAGTCGGTTAAGTGTCTGACTATTGGTTTCAGCTCAGGTCATGATCTCAGGGTCGTGGGATCGAGTCCTGTGTCAGGCTCTGCACTCAGTACAGAATCTGCTTGTCCCTCTCCCTCTGCTCCTCCCTGCCCCACCGGCTCTCCCCATCTCTATCTCTAAAATAAATACACTTTAAAAATTAAAAAAAAAAATGCTTGGAAGACCAGCTTCCACAAGCCTTGCCCCCCCGGGCCTACCCCGCCATCCACATGCTGGCCTTGGGCCACCCCGTCTGCAGCCCAGGCAGCTGGTGACAGACAGGCACCCCAGATGGGAAAGGAGGAAGAGCCGGGTCCCCACATGCCTCCCGCTGGCTGCTGACCCAGTGTCCTAGTGCGTGGCTGGGAAGTGAAAGTCCAGCTCCCTGCCCCGGCTTCCCTCGGCAGGGCCCCAGGTCGCTGGGCTGACCTCTCAGTCTTCCCTGTAGGCCTCCTACTTGGGGGGCTGCCCCTGGAGCAGGCAGAAAAGCAGCAGCTGGGAGCAAGAGGCGCGTGGAGATGGCTGGAGGCGAAGGGCGGGGGCTGGCGGAGGAAGGAACGTGGCCTACCTGTTGACAAGCAGGAAGTTCGCCATGAGGCACAGCATGGAGGAGACGGTGGAGGCGATGGTCAGGTAGCTCTCAAAGTAGTTCTGCAAGCACAGAAGTGAGGGGGCTGCTGATGTCACCGGGGGTGGACGGGAAGGCCCCCCGGAGAGCGGAGACAGGGCTCCTCCTGGGGGGCTTCTCCCCACTGTCTTCAGAAACCAATGAGTGATGGACAGGTCTGCTCCAAGACGGCATGGTCCCACCCCATGGTGACCTACGACCACTTACAAGGTCACTCAACAGATACCAATATGAGCTGTGCGAACTGCTGGGGACGTAAGTTAGGATAAGACATTGTCCCTGCCCTCAGAGAGGCCCCGAATGCTCTGCAGCCCGCGCTCCCCCTGACTCTACCTGTCCCCACCCACAGATGAGCCAATGGGGACAGGACTCAACTGTGAGCGTGTGCACACAGAGAGACTGTGCCCTACCAGCCTGCTTTGCCTCCCGCCAAATTTCAATTATCCAAGTGCGCTTTGTTATAACCCAACCACATTCTCGTGTTCTTGCAACCAAGTGGGGCCTCTTAGAAATACACCAACCCTGATGACTGTGGGGAAACTTTGTTCTGACTCTGGATTTGCTTCCTCGGAGAGATGCTACCCAAGGTCAAGTCCACTTTGGGAAATGGCTCCTAGACTAGCCAAGAGGAGGGAAAAGGGTATTTTTCTGGAAGCAGTTGCAGGGGATTCTTGATGAAGCGTGCATGAGACCACACGAGGAAGAGCACCAGATTATAACGTGCTGGAATTTACAGCTAAAGAAACTGTATGGCAATTGCACCTGGTTCTCCAAACTCAGAGAACTGTCCACTCGTTAGGATAGATTTTACTGCGTATCCGTTATTCCTCAATATACCTGTCTTAAAAAAAAAAAAATCAAAAAGGGCTGACATATCTTGGCTTTGGTCATTGTATGTCAAACCATGAACCCCAGGTTGGTAATGATTATGGGTGTTAAGCCGTGAGAATAGATCACACGTATGAAGCATTTCCTGTGTGCCTGATACAAGAGCTTTATATTAAGTATGTTGTTCAATCTGAAAAATAAAAGAGAAGCTGTGAGCATTCTACTCTGGAAAGCTCACAAAATTGGACTTAACTGAGGTGATATTTTGAGTTACAAATGTGCCAAGCGCAAGGGACAATGCGTGCAAAAACTTTGCCAATGTGAGAGCATGGTGGCAGTTGTGGGGATCACGACAGAGAACGAGACACGCTTCCTGCCCGCTAAGAAGGAAGCATCCCACTGGGAGTGTAATACAGAGTGTGAAGGTATTTTCATCTCAAAACACCACGGGAAGAGATGTCAGAATTCTGTGGGGTTTTTTTGTTTTTTATTTTTGCCAAATCAGAGGTAGGAGCGGTGAGTTCTAGAAGGGGTTCTGGGTGGGGGAGTGGGACCAGGGAGGAGGATCACATGAGAGAATGGGAGTGAATATGGGTTTGGGGAAAGGTCCCAGAGGAGGTGGGATCTGAGTCAGACCTTGACACAGAGGGTCAGAGCTGTTCTTTCTGGGACAGTCTGATTGCAACGTGGAGCCCAAAAGAGAAAGATATCATAATGTACTCCTTCTGGTCTGAAACCGATTGTTCCAGGGTCTCTTTTTAAAGCCTGCAGAGTGCTTTGTGGTCTTTGAAATCTGCACCCTGAATATAAGGTGGTGGTGGCCTTGCCATTAAAATGGTAATCACAGTGAGTGCGGTCCATCAACCATGAGCCTTAGAAATAGCCTTCCTCCTTTGAGGTGCCACCTCATTGTTCCTGCCCTGATGGGCTCAGTAGAGCCTGGACTGGTCCGAGGCACTCAGTCAATTACGTCTTGACACAGTGGCTGAGCCTACGTGAGGCCAGGCAGGCGGCAGGCAGGAGCCACGGAGAATGGCCCCGAGGAAGAGACAGCCGCAGGTGGGGGGCCAACCAAGACGGCCCCAAATCCGAGCCCCCTAACGGGGCTCCCTTCATTCAGTGGCTGCTCATTCCATGGCAAGCCTACAAACGACCATTGCATGGGATGCAGAATCTCTGCCTTTGTTTTTCAAGCAGGCTCAGGTTCCCTGAACATTTTAAGAGTGGGGATTTCCTAGGTAATTGCATGTTCTGGTTTGTTGATATTTAAGCAGAAAATTGTCCTTTTAATGTTGGAAAGCATTTTAAAATATTGACAACGGAGTAAGACTCTTTCTGTGGATGGAGCCCATTTTCTTGGCTTTTCAAAGAGCCTTTCTTTGTGGATGGAGCCCATTTTCTTGGCTTTTCAAAGAGCAGGCAGGAGGGGCGGAATGGACTGGACCCTGGACCATTTTCCTACTGATACATATTGGGGGCTGTAGAAGGTTGCGTAGGCTGACTCAGCACACCCCATGGAGTTTTTTTTGTTTTTTTTTTTTAACTTAGTTCCTGATATAAACATATTGATGGGGGGGGGGAGGGAGGTTACTTATTTGATGCTTTTGCCTGTAAGTAGAGTTCTAGCAAAACGTGGTGGGCAGACTCTCTAGGTGGCCCCCATAGTCCCAGCCTCCTGTGCTCACGCCCTTGTATGTGACACCCTCTGCTAAGTGTGGGTGGGACCTGTGACTTGCTTCTAACCAAGAGAATACGGCAAAGGGGCAGACATACAGGATAATGTGTATGGGATAATGTTACGTGAGATGGTAGCACCTGTCTTCCTGGACTCTTTTTTTTCCTCCCTTGATGGCTTAGAGGATGCAAGGGGCATCCTGGGGAACCCCAAGTGGCAAGAACTGCAGGTGACCCCTAGTTGCTCAGAGAGGTTTCTGGCCAACACCCAGCAAGAAACTGAAGCTCTCAGTCCTACGACTGCAAGGACCTGGATTCTGCCAACAACCCAAATAGCCTGCAAGTGATCCTTCTCCAGCCGAGCCTCCAGGGAGACCGCAGCCCTGGCTAAGCCCTTGACTGTGGCCGTGTAAGATCCAGAGCCGAGGACTCCGTCAAGCCATGCCCCGACTCCTGGCCCATGGGCACTGTGAGAAAATAAACGTGTGTCGTGTTAAGCCGCTAAAGCGTGCAGCTTTTTGTTACACAGCAATACATTCCTCATGAACAAGGGCTTTGGGCAGCTGAGTTCCTACTATCCAGGGTTTTTCTACATCTTGCTGCCTTCTTGTAGTTTACATTCGGTTTCTCGATGAAAACAGGGACAGCTGACCCTGATCTTGCTAGACATGAAGACCAGTGTATCTGCCCGTGAGGGAAACAAAGGTTATGCTTGCTGACATCAGTCCCCTTAGCCTTTCCTCATCAACTCCTTTGCTGAAATTAGGTTCATTTTGTGCCGATTCCAAGAAACAGGACTTAGCTTACATGCCACCCCAGTCTGCTCACCTTGCCCGCCCTGCGGGCCATTTGCCTTGCTACTCAGTCCCACGGACATAAAGCCACTGCCCCCAGAGAAGGAGCCGACTGCGAGGGACAGAGCCCTGTGCTGCACACTGCCGGACTGCACCCTCGAGGCTCTCGCTCCCTGGGTGACGGTGGGAGGGGTCAGGTGACACTCTCTGAAGTCGGGGAGAGGAAAAGCCCCATGACATAGGCTTTGACCAATGAGAGGCAGGAAGTGGGAAGGAGACAAGAGATAAACTTCTTGACTTTCTTCTCCCCCAACCACCTGGTCTAAAATGTGGTGGCCCCATGTGACTTCTCTGGATTCATGCTGGGTGCCTGAGCAGCCAGCAGCTGTGTTTGGTTGCAAAGCTGGGGCCAGCCTGCGTTTGCTCTCTCCCACCCCCGCCTCACTTCCCTTTTCCCCCACTCTTGCTTCCCTAGGACGGCGCACCCTGAGATGGGGTTCACACATAACGGGTGGCCTCGGGCTCCTTTCTAAGAAACATCCAGCAGTGAAGGCCCTACTGTCCACCCTGGATTACGCCCTTTGCAGACCTGCAGTGGGCATTTCCTTCCTGGGTTTGTCTCATTTGCCTGCAAGGGATGTTGGGGCCCCCTTCTCCCATTTTACTCCAGGCAATGTAAGAACATTTGAATATTGGTTCAAGCACATTGGCAACTGTCCTGCCCCCTCCAAAGCAATCCGTCCTCTCCATCCCATAGGGCGATCTTATGTCATGCAATGTGTGGGGATGATTCATGCCACAGTTCACCTGCACTTGGGTCTGGTTCCTAGGAGCTCCCTCAAGAGGCTCCGTTGTTATTTACCACACCAGGTGCCCCACAACATGATTGATGAACATGGCCTCCACCTCCAGAGGTGAACCCAAAGACCCCAAAGGCCAGCGCCGGCCAGGCAGGAGTGGAGGGAGGAGGAGAGCCCCCGGGCAGTGGCACTGGGCCACCTCGGGGGACAGCAGAGTCTGTGCTTTGCACACCCACAGGGAGCACCAATCCTGAAGCGACGAGATGAATGAAGCCCCTCACGGCTGTGCCACATGGCAGGCCTGCTTATACAGTCCGCGGAAAACCTACATCTTGGGGAGTCATTCCTGTAGGTAGGAGACTGTGTGACTCAGCAAGCAGGCAGGGCTGGAAGACGGCTGGGAGCAGCAGGGCAGGACATGATGGGATGACAGGGCCTCTCGGAACAGGGTTCTCTGCCTCAGAGGTCGGGAGCCCCAGAGGCTGGTAATCCCACGGCCCTCCGCCTGGCCGGCGGCCGCTGCCCATCCAACCAGCAACCCACTCCTTTGTTCCCTGAAGCTGTGGCCACCCCTGTGTGCCCTGCACTGTGCTGGTGGCTTGGTGTTTACCCTCTGGGAGCATGTAGCCTGGCACCGTCCTGCAGCTGGAGTACAGGGGACACAAGGCATGGTGGGAGGAGGGAAGGAGGGGCCCAGGGGGGCTTCTTGCAGGAGGCCCTCTTGGACTGCAGCCCGAAAGGCCAGGGGAAGTTTGCCAGAAGGATATGGGGAGGTGGCGGTGCTGGCAGGGAGAGAGACCACACTCCAGGAGGCAGGAACAGCACATGCAAAGGCCCGGGGGATGCTTCTTTGCCACTTATGGCTCGGACACAAGTCCCTTTGTTGGAACAGACTCCCTGAGGCCCTCCTCGGCATTGACAGGAATCAACTGCACTGTGCTGTGCATCCCGCCCAGACATCCCAGGAGAGGCGGTCATGGAGCCCCGGCACCCACCCCTCTCTTTCAGGGTGCTGATGGGAGACAGTGGCCCCATCGGTCACCATTCTGAATTCGCCAACCCGATGGGTGGCGAGGCCCAGATGAGGAAGAAAGAGGAAAACTTCTGTTCCTCGTGTTTCTCCTCTAAGCTCCCTGCCCTCAACCTTCTCCCTGCCTGCTGCAATCACTGGGGGCTCAGCACGCTGGAAGTGGTAACACCAGAGTCAATCTTGGCATGGGGCAGGTAAGCCACATGGGGGCACAGAAGCCCCGCCGAGTACCAGGTAACTGCCAGTGAGCAAAACCGCTCACATGTGGCTTGCACAGACCCCAGTCCCTTTGCTCTTAATGCAGCCCAAGGCAGAGCTGAGTTTGCTCCCATTTTATAGATAAGGAGCCTGAGGCTAACAGGTGGATGAGCTGCACAGAGGCGCCTACCTGGCACATGCTGGTGGCAGATCTTCTGATGTAGGACAGGGGTGGGGTGGGGTGGGGGGCCATTTAGCGGCTCTAGCTGAGGTGGCCTGCCTCACAGATGCACAGGCCCAAACGCTGTCCCTGGGATGGTACCATGTCACCCGGACGCCCCAGTGGCCAGCACTGGCAGTCCATGTGCTTTCCCAGCAGTGAGTAGGAATTGGCTTGCAGACTCCGAGGTCCCATCAGGGCAGCGTCTTCTCTCTGCCCCAGCCCTTACACATGGCTCAGCCCAAGCCAGCAAACAACAGGGTTTGATTTCTCTCCCCTTTGCAGTTAACTCTCTGCTCCTTAAAACCCACGGTCCATTCCCCAGGGCATTTCCACAGGGCAGTGATTCTGAGTAGAGTTAAAGGAAAAAGGATTTGGAGAAGAGCCCTCGTTTCTGTCAGCCACCCGAAATGGATGGACACGGCCCACTGACGAGCACAGAGCACGGTCCAGAGGACATGAGAATTGGGAAGAGCCGGGCAGGCTTCCAGCTTCCCCCCTGACCTGTGTGGACTCCCGCAGAGCCCCGCCTCCCAGGCCCAGTGGAGGCAGGGCTCAAAACCCAGATCCGGGGTGCCTGGCAGGTGTAGGGGAGCCCCGCTCTGGCCTGGGTGCGGGGCGCCTGATCCCCCGGTGATGGAGATGGGAAAGTCATGATCATCTGTTACACTCTGGCCCCGCTTGCGAACACCAGCAAAGGGGAGAGCTGCTCTTCAAACAAAATTTAAAAACCCACCAGAGCCAGCTGGCCAGATGTGAGGACCATTTTACGAGGGGGAACGTTTCCCCTCCTCCGCCACGCTGAGCGGCTCCGTGCTAAGCGTCTCTTCTGGAAGAATTTAATTCCAGGCTCAGCGTCCAGGTAAAGAGGTTTCTTTGGGCAGGGAGGCCCCGAAATGAGCCCATTTATCTCTGGCAGGCCCCGGGTAAGCTGCTTCTCCCCTGAATGCTATTTGGGCACTTTGAAATAAGTGCAGCCAATTAGCCACGAGCTGTGGCAGGCTAACCTGGAGCCCGGCCGGGAGGCTCGGCGGCAGCCTCGTGCAGCCCCCACCTCAAGAGCACAGCAGCAGAGGCAGCTGGCTCCTGCGGGGCGAGAAAAAGCGATTCAGGCCCCGGGGGTGGCAACTCGAGGCAGCAAAGCGTTACCTGGATCACAGGGGCATGAAATTAGCAGCAGCGAGCGGGCTGGAGCCAAGAATAGTCTGCTGCTGCAAACTTGCTGCCTTCTGATCGCCAAGCTCTTGAGCCTGGGATGTGGTGGAGAGGCGCCCTCGCCCTGGCATCGGCCAGGAAGGGACCAGAGGGCAGGTGGCCCCCAGGGGTGCAGCTGGCGTCCTGCCTGTGGGTTCCAAGGCCCCGTGTTCAGGGACACTGGCCCAGGAAAGCTAAGGGGGTCGTGGATGAGCTGGGAGGGCTAGCTGGACAATACCTGTTCCAGGGTCCAGACAGGTGAGGGACACAGGAGACCCGATCCACCCAGGTGTGATAGGTGGCCAGGGGCCCAAGGGCAGAGCAAAGCCGGGTCAGAGTCAGACACGTAAGGCCCTGAAGGATGCCGGCCAGATAGACCCAGCCACTCTAAGGACGGGCCCCCCTTCAGACCTGTGCGCACGGCTTCCAGGCTTTAACAGTAGCCCACTGATGCTCGGCCTCGTGGGCCATCTCCAGGCCCCCGCTCCTTGAGCCCACTAAAATCTTGCTCTTTAGTGGCCCAGAGGCCCTCCTTAGCCTGCAATCCTTTTTCACATCTCCCTGGAATCCCTGCCAGAAGATAAGCAGAGTTGCTGAGATTTTCTGGAATGAGCCTCCCTACCTTCCCCCGCCTCTGTGTAGAGCCCTCTGGAGCACACCTTGTCTCCCCCAGCCTATGCTGACTTCCAGGAGACTTGCAGCATGAATGCTCACCCTCCCTGCCTGCATTTTCTCTCTCCTTCACTGCTGGGCCTACCTTCTCGGAAAGGTAAGAAAAACCTCTCTGACTTCATGGCCTCCAGCCACAAGGCCCCTCCTTCCCTTTGCCCCTCCTTCCCTAGACAGGCAGCCCATGCCCTCAACGCTAACACCTTACCCCTCCCGGGTTGCTGTGGGAAAGACTCCTTCCAAGGGGCTTCTTTGCAGCCGTTACTAAGGCCTGGTCAGGCTCCTGACACCACTGCACCCCCGGCCGCCTGGTTATAGCGGGCTGAACAGTATTCCCCCAAATTCATGTCTCCCCAGAACCTCCGAATGTAACCTGATTTGGAAATAGAGTCCTGGCCGATATCACCAGTTAAGATGAGGTCATACCGGATCAGGGTGAGCCCCAAATGCAAGGACTAGCGTCCTCAGAAGCAGGAAAGGGCACGCAGATGGAGGCCGGGAGAGAGCCATGCGAACAGAGGCAGAGACCGGAATTACACCGCCAGGAGCCAAGGAATGCCAAGGACTGCTGGGAGCCCCGGGAACCTGGAAGAGGCAAGCAAGAGTCTTCCTAGAGTCTTCGGGGCAGGCATGGCCCTGCTTGCCTCTTTGTTTGTGGCTTCTGGCCGCCAGAACGTGCGAATAAAATGCTGTTGTTCTGAGCCACCCAGGTCTGGGCGCCTCAACACAGCAGCCACAGGAGCCGGCCACACCTGCCCTCCAGCGCTCCGCGCCTGAACTCCCACGCCACCCCTCCCCCTTCTCCCCCTCCTCCTCCTCCAGGGCAGCTTGGTCCACCTCTGCACTCTGCCACCAGAGATGCCTCTGAGCCCCACCCTCAGTCTCCTCCGTTCCTGCACCATACTCCTGCCTTGGGAAGCTCATCTCCCCTGGCTTCCATGAGCCCCGTACCTGAATCCGTCCCTGCCTCCAGAACAATTTTCACTGCCTGCCACCCAGGTGGCCTGCTGAACCCCCGCTCCAAGGTCCCTAATCAAAGGCCTTCGAGAGTACCCCCAGCCACCTGTCCCCAGGCTCCATGGTCTGCCCTCCCTTTCCTCAGTGCTCCTGCTCCAAGTTTCTCTGCTTTCCTTCACCCTCATCCCAGGTCGGTCACTTGCCGGTCCCCACATCCCTAGGAAAGGAGAGTGGCTCGCGCTCCCACCCCCACTCCTGGGACTCCTCCCCTGCCCACCCCGGGCTCTAGCCCCTCCCCAGGTTCCCACCACTCAAGCGTCTCCTCGGGCCTGGCCACCCTCTGCCTCCCTGACCCCAAGCCATGCACACGGGTCTGGTCCTTGTCTGCCTCGCAGGGTCCCGCTGCATCCCCTGCTTCTCTATGCAGCCTCGCCCCTCGGCCCTCCTCAGTCTCCTCGGTGCATGGTCCCCCTTCTTTGGCCCCCTTCCGGGACACCCCAGGGGCTCCAGTTTGGTTAAATGAGGGCGCCTGTGAGGTAAGAGAGGCCCGGAGGGGAGATTACGGATGGTGTCAAGTAGCAGGCTGAAGAGGGGTGCTTGTCTCAGAAGGAACTGGGGATCCATGGAAGAAGGCTTCTGAACAGCACGGACATGCTCAGTGCTGGGCACAGAGGGGTCCCCTGGCCAGGGAGGGTGGAAGGAACCGAGGGGGAGGAGCAGGTAGTAGTGGCCACGGATGGATCCATTCATTTCTTCACTTTAAGACACAGTAAAGACAGCTGATCTGCTAGAGGCCACGCACTTATTCAACAGTCACAGCTGAGCACCTTGTAAGTGCCAACATGTGCTAGAGCCTGGGAGGCCATGGGGCTCTAGTGAGGGAGGCAGGAAAAGGAGTAAATAGCAAGTTCAGAAACAAAAAGACTGCATGTCACATTAAATGCAATGAACAGGAAAACCAAGTAAGGAGCTATAATATAGCCAGGGCAGTGGAGGGGGGGGGGGGCTGATGTTGGCGAGGGTGGTGAGCAACTGCCTCTTAAAGGAGCTGATGTTTGGACCCGAGGATAAGCTATGCAAGGGGTGAGGGGAAAAGCATTCTGGGCAGAGGGAACAGCATGTGGTTGGCCCCAAGGCAGGAGTGAGTTTGGTGTGTTTGAGCACCTGGCAAACCAGGCTGATCCTGGATTCAGGGAGTAAGGGAGAGAGTGGGGAGATCAGGCTGGAGGCAGGGGCAGGCTGGGGTGAACAGGCTGGGGTCAGAGTTTGGACCTTATTCTAAGTACAATGGGAAGCCACTGCTGGATCCCAAGTGGCTGGGAAACTTGGTGCTGGTGCACAGTCATGGAGCCCTCCCCACACTCTGCTGTTCTGAGTGCTTTTCATGTATTCACTCCGTTGATGCTTATAGCACCCCTCCCAGGGATGAGTCCTATTGCAGATGAGGAAACTGAGGCTCAGAGAGGTCAGGCACTCGCCCAAAGTCACACAGCTCAAACCCAGCTCTCTGTCTGCAGAGCTTGTCCCCTTCCCTGGCGCAGTAGACAGCCTCTTCATTTTACGTCTTAAAGGACCACCTCTGTAGCTAATGGAGAATGGTTTGCAGGGGGGGCCCTGGGAGCCAGCGGCCAGCAAGGCTGAGGCTGGGGTGCTGGCCGTGGAGAAGAGAACCAGAGGCACTTGAGACGTTTGCGGAGGTGGGGTTAACAAAACTTGCTGACAGACTGAGCGTGGGGGTGGAGGACAGCGCAACACAAAGGGGACCCCAAAGTTTCAGGCATGACCGACCTGTTAGCAGCAGCATGGATAGCTAACGGGGCAGTGGAGGGCGTCTGCTCCGGTGTCACCTAAGTGTGCCCAAACAACAACCCCACCAGGATTCCAAACCCCGGAGTGTGGCACCACGGCGTACCACCCCGGGAGCAGGGTCCTCCTCCTGTTCCCTCTCCTCGCCAGTCCAGCACCAGACAGGTCTTTCACAAACACTTACAGATTAATTCACCATTCCGCACGTATTTGCTGAACTCAATAGATAGTCTAGGCCCCAAGTTCCCGCTTTTATGGAATGGATGGTCTGGTCAAGGAGACCGTCGGCAAATGCATACGCAAATAAATGAACGACATGTCAGGCAGCGATCCGAGTTCCAAACAGAAATTCAGCACAGTAGGTCCCTCTATAACAGATCTCAGAACACTAGTGCGGAAAGACCTGAAAGAGTGTCTGGTCCAGGGGTGGGCAGCCGACTGCCCCTGGGGCCAAATCTGCCCGCCTCCATGTTTGTAAATACTAGAAACTGGTCAGGCCCATTTGCTGATGGATTATCTGTGGTGCAGAGCAGAGTACCTGTGAAAGAGATCATGTGCCATCTGGCCGTTTGCAGAAAAAGTCTGCCAACCTCCACCTAGTTTCTTAGATAAGGAAATAGAGCCCTCAGTCACCCAGCAAATTTGAAACACAGTAAGAAACAGAACCAGCTCTCCCGAACCTCAGGTTTTTCTACCACCGGAGGTGAGCACGGAAATTGGAAACATGACTCCTGCCAACCCTTCCGCCCCACCCCTCCACCAAACCCCTCCCCGACAAGGCAAGCTGCTCTTTGATTTTCAGCCTTTTTGTTCCCCTACCCACTCTTCAGGCCGAAACCTCAGCAGGCAGAGAAATGGCTCAGAACCAGTTCAAGGCAGGGGTCAGAGCAACAGGGAGCCTAGTCGGTCCACACGCAAGTGATCCCGACCTCTGAGGAGTGACTGCTGATTCGGGGCTTGGTCACTGCTGATGCTCAGGCCGGGCTGTCCTTCCTCTTCTGCAGCCCGACCATGTGGCCAGGGCGAGGAGGAAGAGGAGGCCTTCCAAGGAGACTCCCCGCTTACCCACACAGCCCTCGCCAGAAGGGGTGGCTTCTGCACCCCCCAGAGGGCCGACATGCTTCGGTGTCCCAGGGCTGAGTGCGGGGGACAGGGCCCAGGGATATGGCATGTGGGTAAAGAGGAGGTGGTCTGGGGGTGCTCCAGCTGGTCTCCATAGAAGGAAACCCAGGAGAACCACCAGGAAGAGGGAGAAGTCCCGAGAAGACCCAGACAGGACTTGCTTACCCAACATGCCTGCAGGGAGGCCAAAGCCCCAGGCTCACAGGCTGCTACAGGCCTTAGGTGAGTGCATGTGTGCACACAGAGGACCCCCAAGAGGCCTGCTAGGACCCCTCCCCAGCCCCCTCCACCACCACAGACCCCTCCCAGAGGATGATCCCGATAAGGAAGGCACCGGGCAAAGACTGATCTGGCTCTGCTCTATGGATACACTTGACGATCAATCACGTTAAGGAGACACTTGAGCACTTAAGGCCCAGGCCATGTTCTAATTTGTCGAGGAAATCGCCTCTGTATTCCAAGGACAAGTGTGGGAGGAAATAAAATCGAAGGCAGGGCGGGGGGGTGTGTGGTTGGAGAGCGATCGATAGCCTGGGGGGGCCAGGGAGCAAGGTGCAGGTAGGGAGCTGAGGCCGTGAGCATGCAGAGAGAAAATACAAAGAGAATTTGAGAAGTTGAGGCCACCGAAGGCATGACTGACAGCATTTCAAGTCGGGCTTTTTCTCTCCCTCTGCAGGACGCAGCAAGAGCTAAACACAGAAGAAAAAGCCATCACAGGTATATTTATTGGGAACAGCATGCTGGCTGGGTCTGCAGTTAGAATCAGAGGGTGGACAAGGGAATAAAAAAAATGACTCAGTTTTGGTTCTAATTTTTAAAAATGGTTTGAGAGCAGCCATCCCGCTAGCCCAAGCCACTGCGCAGCTGCGGGGGAGGGACCCACCCTCTCTGCCCCATGGTAGCACCCGTGCCCTGGGCAGGAAGCCTGGAGCCCTGGCCCCTCCTGCTGACCCCTGGACTGTCTCTGCCATCTCCTCTTCTGGGATGACAGGGCTCAGACCAAATCCTACCTTGATTTGGGTTTAGCACCATGCTTTGGAATTCTGCTCTTAAAAAGTGGATTGCCAAGTGGAGTCCACCGTGCATGTTTTTCCATTTGGAGGGACCTGAATGGCTCTAGGATTGGTCTGCAGGAGCATCACGTTCCACAATGGTGCAAGCTTCTCAAGGAACAGCAGGTAGAACGGAGAAGTGGTTCCCCGAAGGACCAGGAGCACCTGGCAACAGTAGCCCAGGCCCACCGTGGAGAGCAGGAGGCAGCACGGCGGGATCTGGGAATCTGGGCATCTGCCAAGTGTGCCAGGAAACATGATGCAGACTCAGATACCCCTGGGTCACAGCCCCGCTCTCGGCTTCACAGCCCTGGGCCATCAGCAAGTTACTGATTGCTTCTGCTTGCCTCCCCTGTCAAATGCGGGCAAAAATGCATCCCCGTGGCCGGCTGGAGGCAAACAGGCAGAGCAGGGTTTTTCAAATTACAGTTGCAGCCCACTAAAGAATATGAAATCCACCTAATGGGTCATGACTACAGCTTTGTTTCCTTTTATCTTTGGCTGCCTTCTCTCCTGTTCCAAGGATGAATCACCTGCATTCTTTTTTTCTTTAAAGATTCTATTTATTTGAGAGAGAGTGAACGAGCACAAGTGGGGGGTTTGCAGAGGGAGAAGCAAACTCCCCGCCG